CAGAGGATATGGTTATACCAGAAATAATGAAATCTCTTGAATTTGCATATTAAAAATTTGGCAAATTAAACACTGCTTTCACCTCTGCTCTCATTTCTCCTCTCTGAGGAAAGCTAAAACAGAGCCTTTCTGCTTTCTTTGTAAGTCGCCCAGATTTTCCGTGCTGGTCTTAAACCCTGGATGTGAGATGGTGCACTCCGTGTTCTGTCCACTACAACACAGGGCCTCTGCAGGCACAGGTGACCTGCAGATGGGCTGCACTGAAGACCGTCAGGCCCAGGAGGGAATTGGATTGTGTTTACTTTTGTGCGGGTGCTTTCGTAGGGAATATGGGGAGAAGGACATAGGAGTGATGGCCTCAAATCTCTGCAAACTCTGCTTAGAGCTGAGGCTTCTTGGGGAAGGGCACAGCCTGCTGACAGCAGCCGTCCTGGCTCCAGGCTTGGAGCTTGGGCTTCCTCTGGAAGTAAACTCTCTAGAATGTTTGAGAGCAGGGATGGACAGAGAGGCAGCAGAGTGTCATCATTAATAACATGAGCTCTAGAGCCAGAAGGTGCAAATCCTGGCTCTGCTGCTTGTTAGCTAGTTGTGGAACCCCTCTTTGCCTTGGTTTCCTCATCCAAAATGAGAAATATGATAGCACCTGCTTCAGGATGGTTGTTACCAGGATTTAAGATTTATATAAGCCAGTACCTGGCACTTTGCATTTTTATTCTGGATGATCTCACCCCTAAGCAGTCTAAAAATTTACTGCACACATGGGCAGCAAGAGGGGTCTTTAGGTACATGGTCGGGAGGTGCTCCTGTATAAGGAAGCTGGTCCTGGAGAGGTGAATCGGAACCTGAAGGCTGCAGCCCCGTCTCTGCATGTGACAGGGCAGACGCAGGTTGCTGGGGGCCCAGATTCTGTGCCATTCTCTACCCCAGCTTCCTTTTCCATGTCAGCTGCTTCTTGAATACCCCCAAACCCTCTGTGGATGCTGTTAACGGAGCCAAAAAGGAGGAATCAGAAATTGCTCTCTTTTGAGTATTTGGAGGGATGGTGAAACCTTGTAGGAATGTTGCTCCAGGGACTGAGAAAACACCATATGTGGGAAAGCGTTTCTAAGTGAGGAAAATCGCACATGCACGTCGGTCAGGATCTTGGAAAACTCTGAGCAGGGGAAATGGGCACCGGGGAGAGTGTAGAGAGGGGGTTTACTGAGGTCTTTAACAGGTCTTTTTCTAATTATAGCCAAGAAGAGCCTGGGGACAATGGCCGACTTCAGAGCCAGGGCCTGTATTTTCTTTGGGAAAAGAAGGCAGAGTTGATTGGCTTCCAAAACCAGGCTTGGCAAAAGCCCATGCAGGCTCTCCAGCCAGTAAGCGCTGCCTTGGGTAGGTCTATATCGCAGCCGGCGTTCATTCAGTAAATTGACATCGAAACTCCGCAGCGTGTCCAGCCCTGTGCTGGGCGTCAAGGATGTGTGGATGGAAAGGACACGGTCCCTGTCGTCCAAGAGGAGACACACCAACAATAATAGCACAATATGACAATTGCTTAAATGAAGTTCTCTGCAGATGACAGTGACCCCTAGAGAAAGAGCATAGACATCCCCCTAAATAGAAGAACTCACTGCTGTGCCTTGCCTGGGTGGAGCTAGCACTGCCTTCCTGTTTCCATTCCCCACTCCAGAGAACTGGCCCACTGGGGGACTCCCACCCCAGACATGGAGTGAAAAATGAAGGTACTCGTGGCCAAAAAGTGACCAGAGATCAGAATGCATCTCTTCTTGCCCCCAGCGTATTCAGAAACGCCACCTCACCCTTGCCCATGTTTGCTTTCATCATTTGTCTGTTCTCTGGGCTTCCAGTTCATAATATTCCTTTCTTCTCCCACAACCAGTGTAAGTGGTCTGAGATCCAAGCACTCGGGCACTGTGGCATCTGGGGGAAAGCCTTGTTGGGACCGTGTTGGTACAGATTGCTGTGAGCCAGACGTAGAGAAGGGAGCTCTCCAGACGCTGGGTCCCTCGCCCGTGTGCATCAAGGGCAGGGGTGCACCATCTCCCGTGGCCACAGGCCATTCAGGTTCATGTTCTCTAACATTTCTAGTGTGCTTACTCTGTCCCTGATACCATGCTGGGTGCTTCCATGTGGGTTTCATTGTTTACCCTTCACAATAACTTTGATGGTGCACAAGCCATGTGACTTTTGTGGAACCTACGAACCAAATGCCCCCGTCACTCTCTGCCATTGTTTAGCAGTCCTTAGACAGCTCACTTCGCCACCAGTGTAGGTCTCTGTTCCCTTATCTGTATAAATGAGGGGATGGTCTAGGGTCCTTCCCAGCTGCAAACCTCTGTGTTTTGGGGAGTTCTGTGGCAACATTCTTGGACTTGCTCTCTACGAAAAAAGCTAAAAGTAGATTCTTGAAATGGAGTCCACAGGAAGTCTTTAGGGCTCTAAGACAGGCTTCTAAAGAGTTTAGAAACACCAACCTGCAGATGACTTACTCCCACTACTTATTACAAAGTATCATGGCAAGTAAGAAAGAAATGGTCAGCCACTGGGAGAGCAGGCTGGGGTTGCAAGGAGGTGGCAGGTGCTGCTGTTGGGATCTTGGGGGAGCATTGTAGAAAAGTCAGCTTTGGAACCAGGCACTGAAAAATGGGTGAAATTTCAACACGAGAGGCAGTGCACGTGGGTCGTGATTCAAGTAGCAGTGAGTAGTGAATGGGGTTGGAGCAAGGGGCCCGTGAGCTCAATGATCACATGGAAAAGGGAGGTGAGGGCCGGAGTGCAGAGAACCCCTCTCACTTTCCTGTGGGTCTCTCCTCTTCTTTAAACTGCATTTAGGTTTTCCTCATCTATAAGATGAAGGAATAAGATTAGATGTCCTCTTTATATGGCTTGTCTACTTCTAATAAACTTTGGTTCCCTATTCTAGCCACCACCCATAAAGACTCTTACTTTTTCCTCCTCAATCCATCAGCATCAGCCAGCATTCTCCCTCTCAGCTCACCCTGGTCATTACCTCACTAATCTGTACCTTGACTCTTATTCTACCCGGGACCTCCCCTCACTAACCATACTTGATTTATTTCCTTAAGAGCAGATACCCTGTGTATTCTTAGCTTACAGTGGCTGAGCTTTTGGGAGGTTTAATAAATTGTTTTTCAATAGACTGTCAGTCCTAAATGATTTTATTGCAGCTGTATTGTTCTTTTTGGGGGAGTAGGGAAGGTAATCCTAGTTGTATGCCATATTCTTTGTATTGTTCAAGTTGCATTTTGTTGGGCCTGTAATATTGAAGAAAATGTCCACTCATGTGCAGAATAGGAGGGAGATTCCTTACGCTGTAGAGGAACCGTTTTCCTAGGATAGTACAATTTCTGAGAGTCATTTTCCTCTAAGGGTGAGCAGTAAAGCTAGAATCCCTCTCTTGGCTTTGACCTTGAAGGGGTCAGCTGTTCCCAAGACTAGTTCCCATGGAAAGAAGATGGTCTCCTTATCACAGTGACAAGAGGAGGCAGTATGAGCAGAGTGCGTCACTGTTGCTGACCTCTAGGGACAAGCGAGCCAGCCGTATTTCAGACAAGCTGGGAAGAGGCTCTCTGTGGGTCCTGGGAGCGAGGGAGCACTGGCGGGCTCAGACATAGGTGTTGGTTAGCAGGACTGCTCTTCTGTTTCTTGTGTTGGCTTTGTTTATTTCCTCTCTATTTTCCCCCTGGACTTAGTGAAGTCTTTCCGAAAATACCAAAGGTGAACCAGGGGAAGAGTTTTCATTTTCCATGTTTAGACAGAACTTTAAATAGGAAATTATGTACACCCTGGGAGGCGGTGAGGTGGTGGCGATGGTAATTAAGGGGTGATTATCTCAAGGAGGTGGAGGAATCAGGGGGATCACTAGCTCAGCTGCCCCTCTCCACCTGGAGCATCTCCTTCCAGTGCTAACCCTCGGAAGATCTGGGCTTTCTTTGCTCTAGTGAGGGAGAGACCAGCAATGAAGGTATCTTGAGATCAGCACTGTAATTCCACCAGGACTCCTCAGGAGCCCGGTGTTAACCTTCTACTATGGCAACAGAATGAGGGCGCCGATGGGTTGAAATGCCATTTAAACAAGGAAATAGTAGAATTAGAAGGAGCATAACCACTAACAGGAACATTTTGTAGCAGAAATGTTAAAAATCTAAAGGAGGAAAGTGAATCAACAATAACTCTTCTGTTCTGGGCAAGTCCAGCCCATTTATGTGAAGTGGTTATTCTGCATCTCTGTCTTCTGCAAGTCGCGCTGTGGCAGGGCTCTGTTTTGCAGAGAGGGTCCCTGGGGATGGAGCAGATCGGTTGGTGATGTGTGTCTGTCAGAAAGCTCGGCAGAGCACCCTGGAACGCAGGCCCTCTCGCAGAGTGGGTAGTGACCCTACATGTTCATTTCCAAGGGCAGGAGAACAGACCGCTCCGGCTGCGACCTGGCCAGGAACGACCCCACATCTGACATTGCAGTATGGGGGGGCCACTGAACCAGTCCTCAGCCTCAGTGTGTTCCCGGGGCTGCAGCTAGGGAGCAGTCGAACTCTTTCTTGAGACAATTACAAGGCCACCACTGCTACTGCTGAAGGGAAATTACTCCATGCTTACAATTCTCAGGTTTGAAGTTTTCATGCTTTGCCAGACTAGAGTGAATCATGCATCTTTGCAGGCTCAAGGGATGTTTAAAGAAGCGGTAGGACATCATCCACCCACAAGTCGAGGCTGCAGGATAAAGCAGACATCCAATGTAAATACAACCCGTGCAAAAAGCAGAGTCAGCAGACCTGGAGTGCATTCTGCAGTATTTCCTGGGGGTGGGGGAAAGAAATTGCCTCTTCAGAATGTCCAGAGGGGAGTTGCGTTGCTTACCTGGGGGGCGGGATCCTCTCTCGGGCCCCACAGGGATACTCAGCCTTAGGTAGCTGGTGCCAGAATAACATAGACTCAGCTGCCACGGCCTGCTCTTAACACCTGTGTTTCCCTTTCAGATCTTACAGGTGAACAAGGTGATGTCCATCTTGTTTTATGTGATATTTCTCGCTTATCTCCGTGGCATCCAAGGTAACAACATGGATCAAAGGAGTTTGCCAGAAGACTCGCTCAATTCCCTGATTATTAAGCTGATCCAGGCAGATATTTTGAAAAACAAGCTCTCCAAGCAGATGGTGGACGTTAAGGAAAATTACCAGAGCACCCTGCCGAAAGCAGAGGCCCCCCGAGAGCCGGAGCGGGGAGAGCCCGCCAAGTCAGAATTCCAGCCAGTGATTGCAATGGATACCGAACTGCTGCGGCAACAGAGACGCTACAACTCACCGCGGGTCCTGCTGAGCGACAGCACCCCCTTGGAGCCCCCACCCTTGTACCTCATGGAGGATTACGTGGGCAACCCCGTGGTGGCGAACAGAACATCACGGCGGAAACGGTACGCGGAGCATAAGAGTCACCGAGGGGAGTACTCGGTATGTGACAGTGAGAGTCTGTGGGTGACCGACAAGTCATCGGCCATCGACATTCGGGGACACCAGGTCACGGTGCTGGGGGAGATCAAAACGGGCAACTCTCCCGTCAAACAATATTTTTATGAAACGCGATGTAAGGAAGCCAGGCCAGTCAAAAACGGTTGCAGGGGCATTGATGATAAACACTGGAACTCTCAGTGCAAAACGTCCCAAACCTACGTCCGAGCACTGACTTCAGAAAACAATAAACTCGTGGGCTGGCGGTGGATACGGATAGACACGTCCTGTGTGTGTGCCTTGTCGAGAAAAATCGGAAGAACATGAATTGGCATCTCTCCCCATATATAAATTATTACTTTAAATTATATGATATGCATGTAGCATATAAATGTTTATATTGTTTTTATATATTATAAGTTGACCTTTATTTATTAAACTTCAGCAACCCTACAGTATATAAGCTTTTTTCTCAATAAAATCAGTGTGCTTGCCTTCCCTCAGGCCTCTCCCATCTGTTAAAACTTGTTTTGTGATCTGGCTCTCAGGAGTCACTCTGTAAAATCTGTGTACACCAGTATTTTGCATTCAGTATTGTCAAGGCCATGACTGTCGTTTTAGTAAACTTGTTAAAATCAGATGATGTCAGAGTTGTGTATAAACACAGTTATATCCCTCTTCTGGTACATTTAATGTTGGGTTAATGAATTAAAAGAACTGTTATGGCCTCCACTGAAAATGATACCGTGTAGCTCTGGCCAGCAAGCTCTCTATCAGATTCTGTGCTATTTGTTTGGAAAATTAGAATTATGATTTGCTCCAATGTTGTGGTCCTGGAACAATAACAACAACCCTGGCAATTTTAGTTTTGGAAGTTCCTTTGCAGCACAATTTGTTGTTTTGGGGTTTGGGGTTGTTCAAGGGTTTAATTTTTTTTTTTTTGGCTTTGGTTTTTGTTTTGCTTTTTGCAAGTGGTTTCATCTTTAGGCACAAAGAATTTTTTTTAACTATTTGTAACAGAAGAGTTGCATGACTACCCAGAAGCAAACTGAAATGGATCGTGAATAATCTACACATAGAGGATAAATTTACTTATGACCGACTTTCAGCCTGTGACCACCCCTCCTCCTCTGGCAGCCCCTTCTAGAGCTGTGAGCAGAGTTGGAAAGTGCTAGAGCTTTGGAGTCGGACCTGGGTTCAAGTTCCAGCTCCTCCCCTGTGAGCGTGTCCAGGTTTTAGAGATTCTCTGAGCCTGTGCTTCCTAGGGTCAGAGTCAGATAAGGGTCCTTGCCTACGTCCGAGGAATCCTGAAGAGTCAGGTTATAATCCCTGAAACTTTCTAGCATGGGGCAGGCGTTCAAGAATGTTAGTCCCTCACCCGTTCCCTTCCATCCCCCTGAGATGTAAAACGTCCAAATGGAAGGGACCTTCTTGGTGCCTTCTGAGTCCCAACAGGAGCCCATGACAGCCAAGGGGTCACCGTGGGGATGGCGTCACCCGACATGCGCAGGCAGGACTGAGGGGACACCAGGGATGTCCGTTGAGGAGTTTGTTGACGCCCATTTCCCATTGGGAAGCAGCTCGTCCTCTTGGGGCTGGAACATAAGGACGCTCATCTCCCATCTTGGCAGAGGTACAAGGTGTCTGCTAATCCAGTACTGCCCTGAAGCCCCGCCCTCTGCCCAACCTGGATTGCCCTGCATTCATTAGGGACCACGTGTGCTCTTACCTCAAGCAGCCTACGCACTGACATCTCCTTAACACACGCCTGTATAGAATGTGTCCTTTATGGGACATGAACTTTTGAATTAGACTCAGCAAATAGCAGTGGCCTTAGGAACATCATGACACTGCACTTGATCCTGGATGCCTAAAATATGGGGGAAGGAAATAAGGAATTGACCACGTGCCCATCACGGGCCAGGCATGTTCAAACCCTGCCACCATTAATTGTCACAAATCCTTTGAGAGAGCCAGTATCATCTCCAGTTTACAGGCGAGGAAACTGAGGCTGGTGGGTTCAACTTGCCCATGGTCATTTAGTAAGTAAGTGGCAGAGTGAAGATTGTAATCTACGTGGCAATGATGGCACAGTCTTGACTCCTCGTCACTAGTCTCCCCTCTCCTACATAGCAGCATCACATTTCAGAGTGGGCATTATAGTCCTAGAGATATGAAAAACACAGCCCTCTGCGTGGGAAACTTTTGTCCTGTTGTTTCACTGAGCCTTCATCAAGAACGCAATAAACCAGCTGATAGGACGAGGAGAGTCTTATGACTAGCCCAAGCCTAGTTATCAGGAGCTTGTCATTTCAAAGTGACCCTTTCCCTGGGCTTCTAGTAAGCCCTCCACCCCTAAAACAGCAGGCTGAGGGATACTGCAGCTAAGGCATGTCTGTAAAGCTTGAGTCTCAATTTTTTAGCCAGCACTGCGGGAGCAAGACAGGAACGTAAAGAAGCAGTTTTATGGCCCTGGGTAACAGTGGATTGTAGAAAGTTGGAGAAACCTGTTGAGGAGTTGCAGCAAATGCTACCTCACCTGCGTATCGTATGGCCTTTCTATCCTCAGGCCTACAGTTGAGGTGCCCTTAAGGTCCTCTTCTGGAACTTCTGAGTGGTAGAGGGTGGTCTGGTTGATTAGGGAGACGGTCTTCAGTAATAGGACCCCAGAGCCCAGCCTTGCCAGGCACTGACCCTAAAGAGTAGAGCTGAGTCCTGAGCTCTGCCTGGAATGCAAGGAGTTTGCTGGCTTGTCCAGAGCAAGTCTGGAGCAGCATGCTTCTGGGCAGGTGCAGCTCTGAGGAGAAGAGACTTGGGGATGAGACAGAAATATTCCCAAAAGGAACTCTGGGCTGCAGACCCTCTGATGGCTCAGCTTCACCCATTCGGAAGGCCAGGGCAATGCGGCATTACCCAGTTCCATGTCAGTAACTTTATTCAGATGCTGCCAGAGTCAACGTGTTAGCTTTGGGCCCAGGGCAGAGCCTTCTCAAGGTGGATAGGAGGCCTATTTGTATCCAAGGTACACATTTGCCATTGGGGTTAGTTGAAGATTAAAGCCATCTCTGAGATAGGAGAGGCTTGGAAGGCTAGTATCTGGCTCCTGGAAAACTCCACTCTCTCCTTATCTTCCCTTATTGCTTAGTTTCTTACAGGGCCTTCATTAAGCAGAGGTGTACTGCAGTGTGAAGAACCTGAGTGCACAGGAGAAAATGGGTTGTGGGTCAATTTTATTGCCAATAGCTGCATGACCTTGAGTAACTCCCTTGTCCTAACTGGGGCTTTCAGCACCATGAGATTCTATTGCAGAGAGGGGCAGAGTCCAGATGGATAACCTTCACTTCCTTAATGAATGCTATGGTGAGAAGCTCTGTTGCCTGTTGATGGGACTCCTTTCAGCCACATGTGAGTCTCCAAAATTCTCTCCCCTCTTACAGACTGTGACCTGAGCTTATTACCTAATCTCTCTGAGCCTTTGTCTACTTGTCTATAAAGTGGGGATAGTGCCTACTTCGTAAGATTGTTGGTCAATCTAAGAAAATCATCCATTTCCTGGTACATGAGAAGCCTCCTTCAGTGTTGATTATCATGACGACGATGAGCTTTTGCAGGGTTTGCAGGACCCCTCATTCTGGAATTTTGGCGGGACTTTCCAAGCTCCGTAGTGGAGGATTAGTCATACTTAACATGTATTAATCATGGACCTTATGGGAGGTGGACCTTAGGGTGACATTTACGCATTTCCTTTATACAGGTCTCGTCAACCAAACCACTGGCCCAGTCTTACTGACAAGGCCTTTAATCCTCAGTTGACAAACCAGGGAAGGTATTTCTAACCCTTCTAAGCAGCAAAACGTAATTTTTTGCGAGAAGTTCCTCCGACGTGCTTCTCTGATGTGCATATGTGTGAGTGTGAGTGTGCATGTATGTTTTGCTTCCTCCTTGCAAATTATAGCACGGCTTTGCTCTTGTGTTTCTGTCTCTCAGTTTCTGTCTCTCTCTTGTATTCAACAATGCTTCCTATAGGCTGGTGTTGGTGTTTTAGGATTTGGTATTTCTGAGGACTTTTCTGTGGCTGTTCCCTTTCCTGTGTTGTGTGTGAGCACATGTGTGTTTATATGTGCTTTGTAGTTCATTTAGTCAATGTAAAAATCCTCCACTGAGGCTTGGAGAAGCCATCTGCATTTATTTTATCGCTTTTGAACACATGTTCAGGAATGAAGGCTGTGTAGTCAGTTTATTGCTACCTGGAGATTTGTCTGGCTGCACCAGGAAGACACACCTCCTGCCCAGGCTTCAAACTCTGAAGGACCTGGCAAAGCAAATGCCAGGTCCTCCTCGGTGAAGCCTGGCTTTTCCTCGCTAAGCTCCTGCCCTGCTCAGCTGCACCATAGGCTCTGCCTCAGTGAGGGTGCTCTGAAGCCTGGGGAGCGGCCAACTGTCCACACAAACACTCCACTCTCCACAACCCTGGCCCCAGGGCCTCGCACATGCTCTGTTCCACAACTAGGAACAGCCGCAGTCACTGAAGATGGATTCAACCGGAACCTTCTCCAGCCTAACCTTCTTTCTCAAAAACCCCACCCCCAAATCTAAGGAGACCCAGTCTCCTCACATGTGCCCTGCTCACGTTACAGTGGCCGACTGGGCTTCTCAAAAAGCACACCTGTTTCACAGCAAGCTGAGATGCAGACACCTCTGTGCTGACATAGGCCCCTGGGTTTCTGTTTGGTTCGGGTGGAGACTGGCCCAGCTCGAATGGGCAGAGCCGCAGAGCAGGTTAGAAGCCCTCCGAGGGACTATGGGCTTGTTTCCTACAATCCTCGGCCTGTGTTTGGTTGCAGGGTACGGCAGGCCAATGAAACAAGCACAGATGTGCCTGTTGTAGGGGCCAGGGATGGGAGGAGCAAGGAAATGTGGAGAAGGGGAAAACTCCAAGGATGTCAAAAGTCTTTCCTCCTAGGAACCGGCTACCACCAGTGAGTCGGGCTGGGTTGAATTGTTGCAGAGTTCAGTAATGACACTGCCAGGTAAATTATAGAAGTCTCTGTGGCAAGAAAATGTGAACGTTTATTGGGAAATTGTGAAACACAGCCTAATGAGTTTGATGATTTTCACATGAGACATATGAATGGGTGGGCATGCGTGTGTGTGCGTGTGCGTGTGTGTGCGTGTGTGTGCGCGTGCGTGCGCGTGTGCGTGTATACGCGCGTGTGCGCGTGCGTGTGCGTGTGTGCGCGCGTGCGTGTGCGAGTGTGTGTGCGC